ACTCCACTCCAGTCCCCTTCCTCTGGTGATCTGCCACTCTGCTTTCTGTTCCTGACCCTAGGCTCTCTGCCTGATCTGCTTTCTGTTTCCTTCCCTGCACTCTGGCCCAGTTTACTGCATTGCTTTCTGTTCCTGCCCTATATGCCGTTGTGCTGCCTCGTGTGCCACTTACAGAGGCCACCTGTGCCACTTGCAGCACCCGCGCCTCGGGTTGGTCACTCTTGGCCTATGGAAAGGTAAAATTTCTAATACAGTAGAATAGTGGGAGGTCTACTGGTGTACGGTCTACTGGTATTTCGCAGCTGCAAGCATCAGGACTATTGCCCAGGTCCAGCAGTACTTCTGTACTCTATGTTTTTAAATACTCAGATGTAACTTCCTCCCCTGAAAAAGCATTTTTACTTTGTGAAAAAGCCCAAGTAAAAACATGCTCAGAAGAGAAGCCAGATAAGGTAGGTTTGCTGAGAAAGAGCTTGTGGCAGCTTAGAAAGCACCCTCCCAAGTTGCAAATTTTCAAGACTTTCCCTCGCGGATGAAGGAACTCTAGGCTTCAGAGGTCTCAAAAGCCAGCCTTAGGAATCATCAGAGGGGATGGTACAGTTCAAAAAACATCTTGACGTCCATCTTGCTGGGATCATTTGATCCCAGCAGTCTTTCCCACTCATGTGCAGGGGGGCTGGACCCGATGATCTGTAAAGTCCCTTCCAGCCCCTAACAACTTGTAAGATGTCCAGACTATGGAATAAGCTCCCTCTAGAAGTGGTGCAATCGCCTACCCTGGAAATCTTCAAGAGGAGACTGGATAGTCATCTTGCTGGGGTCACCTGACCCCACCTGTCTTTTCTGCCTGGTGTAGGGGGCTGGACCCAATGATCTTCCGAGGCCCCTTAGAGTCGATGAACCAATGAATTATGAAACTCATGGTCTGAAGCAAGCCAATACTAACTTCTATTTATAACACATCTTTGCACATTGAAGGGCCTCTCCATAGAAAAGAGCTAGACGCTTTGCCTCTAGACCAGTCAAGCTCTTAAGTATATGGTAAGCTTGAAGCGCGTGAGTAATCTCAGACAAGTGTGGTTGAAGTGAAACTCTTACTTAAGATATGCAGTAAAAAGTAAAATGAGATCTGAAATGAGTCTTGAGAATATGATCTCAATATGATAGCAGAATAAGCCAGGAATTAGAGGAGAAGAGGCTCCCACTGTTGCTTCAGTGGTCATTTTTGCTGAACTTAAGTGGCTAGATTCCCCTCCACCCTGATACACATTACCTGGGATTAGAGAGATCCAAAAGGAGTCATAAGTAGGTTGAATTATCATTCCCTTCCTGGTTTCTGCCAGTATTGTAGTGTAGAGCTTCCACCATTCCCCCGCCTCTTAATATGTGAAAAAGCCAAGACTTCTAATGAAGAGAAGTGAAGGAATGAAGAATTCAGTCATTTCTCCCCATTAACATAACATGGCTTCCTCATAACTTGAGTTTTCAATCTTCTTTTTTTTCACCAAACACTGCTGTTCTGTCAGAATGTAACAATTTTAGTAAGGTTTCTGAGGAAACCTTTGGTTCCAGATTTCTTTGGAAGTGACCACTTCTGGAGAAAGAGGGTGAGGCCCAGATAGACTTTTGGACTATTGATCCAATAGTGAGCCCCTTTGGACTTTTGATCCCAAACCAGATGTTTAGTTGCAACCCAAATGTTCTAATGGTTTGGTTTTCATTTTGATGCGGAACAAAAGTAAATTTCAAAACCTTGAGAGTTATTGTGAAACAAGACTGTTGTTCTCTAGCCAGCTCTGCTTGTTAACTAAGAAGGCAAGATACTGATTTTTATGAGCACTTTGGTATAAATGCTTTGCACACGGCTGGGCCAGGCTGAGTTCCTGGCTGCCTACAGGCTCTGGCTGCTTGTTTCTGTCTGTACGTGCTCATCCCTACCGCTGCAGCCGTCCGGAGTACCTGCCCGGGCTACCTGCATTAATACAAATTTAAGATAATACAGGGAAATCTCACAAACTCTTTAATCCTAGGTCATATGTACTGAGCTGCTTTATTGAGCATGAGCTGGCTCTGTCATGTTTGTGGAGCAAAATGAAGAGGAGCACTAGCTGAACCTACTACCTTTTCATTAGGCCACTCGTGATAATGTCCCCTTTCAGCCTGGTGCAGGGGGCTGAGCCCATTCTTGTGATGCATCCAACTTTGCTGCTCATTTGGAGAAGCAACCAAGATTATTTCCATAAGAGTAGTAGTGGACCTATACCAAAGCTGTAAGATGAACACTGTTAGACTTTGCATAAATGAAGGTGTGGATCCGGATTTCTCCACTGATTTGTAAAATTTTCATGTCAGTTTTGAGAAGATGTGCAAGATCCAAACTTGGCATTTTGGTCAGCCCCTGTGTCAATGAGTAACTCATTTGAGGTTGCACTATTTATTCCTCCTTATTTTTAAGACAACCACATTTTTAATGGCAGCTTTTTAAGATTCTGCTTATAAGGGGGCCTTTCTTCTCTATGGGCTGAATTCTTGTTCATTTGGTCTCCTCTAACTGCTTCATTGCATGCAGCATACACACAGACATATTTTAAATAGGAAATGAAGGATTGCAAGGTGAAAATGATGCAGATAGAGCACTATGGATGCTGATGCTCTGGCACTGTACTCAATGGGTGTTTATCCATGAATTCAAAAAGAAAAGAATTAGGTCATAAGTGGATTATTGAGCCCTGTGGAAGGAAAGCAAAAGGGAATCAATTGATAAAATGAACCGGCTACTGTCTTTGCATAGTGCACTGATAATGGCTCTGAGACTCATGGTTTCTGGGTTATTTTTTGTGTCTGATGAGGGCTTGATATGTTACCTTAGATATATTGTGTGATCTCTGCATGCCTGCCTTTTATGCATTATGGGGAGCAATGGCAATAAGGAATTTCAGTACAAACTCAAAGATAAAACCAGGAGACGATGATATAGGGGCTTCCAGGATGACAGCAGCAGAAGGAACATAAGAATTTCCTTGAATCACCACAGAACTAAAAAATGACCGTTAGCAGCCAGAAGGGAGCACTGATATCCTGTAAAGGTGACAAAAGTCAGCAGATTCTCAGTGCTGCTAGTGACTGAGCAGAGGCAAGAGTTTGATCCTGTGCCGAAACAAAGAAAATGAAGACTCCTTCATTTATTCCTTGCTGCGTACAGAAAATGAAAATTCAACCTCCATTTATTGTTCATTGACAGCAACGGAAAGACTCCCATTCACTTCATCAGGCATTGGTTAAATTGCAGGGAGAGCTTATTCTCTGATTAAGAGAAGAGGTATAGGGCTGCAGCCAGAAGGTGGTAGAAAACACTCTACTTGGGCACTGGGGTGGAAACTGTCTGGTGTAGATGCGGGTTAGGATGTCTCATCTATACAGGACACCTCAGCAAGGTGGAAGTAGCCAGTGGGTGAGGTGATGCCTGAGGAGCTATTGGGAGGGACCATGCAGCAGCTGGGCGAGGAATCAGCAGGCTGACTAGGTGGGGTCAGTCATTTAGCGAGGTCAAAGTCTAAGGTCTTTCCAAGTTTAGTGGCTCATCAGGCTGGCATGGATAAGGTGCACTGGTTTCTGTAGCCAATGGCATATAAGGGAGTGATGTGACCAGCAGCATATATGGCCATCTTTGTTTGGGCCACCAGGCCCAAGTGATCAGATACCCATTTACAGCTTGGTTGGGTGTATGGAGAGGCCTTTCATGTGAGTGCAAACCAGAGTTCAAACTCTAACCTCTGAACCCATATCAAGTGGCTTGGAACCATTCTGCCACTGTGTGCCATAGATAGTTAGGTACTCCACCTTTATCTAAACTGGTGCACTCCTGTTTGAGCATTTCATGTTTATTTAGTTTAATCTGTACTTAAGGAACCTTTGTGTTAAAGTTTTCATACAGAAACATTTTTATTTAAAACAAACAAAAATGCTGTAGTTTCTCCTTTTTAAATCACAAAAAAAGTAAAACATGCATCCCTCAGGATATGCAAATAAAAGTGTTTAGAATTAAAATTCTTGAGCACATGTAAATAACTGATACATTTCCTACTACTAATCCACTGAAAAGTCAGAATACATGCTTATGATGGACCCAGTTCTGCCTTCCTTGTATTTATTACCAACTGCAATGACAGGGCCCTGTTCAGGTGCGCTTTTTAGTTTGTGTCTAAATCCCTGTTGATAACAACATGCATAATTTTAAGCATGCATTGAAGTTCAATTGATTTCAATGGAACTTACACAAATACTTAAAGTATGTATGTATATGCTGCCCTGAATAAGATGCTATCTGGTATCAGGGCCACCAGAAAACAATAAACACTTCTGGTCTAGAAGAGCAAATAAACGTTAGATGGAATCTTAAAGGTTGTATTCAATTTTTGAAGGATTTTGTTTTTGTTTTCAGTCTCTGCCACATAATCTGAATGCATATTTTTACATGAATATGAAGAAAAAAACTGAAAATGGAAAAACAATTGCTGTTCACTTTGAGACTGATCATGGTAGTTTTGCCATTGATTTTAACAAACAAAGGGTCAAACCCTAAAGCTATATTACATAGGTAGTTTTTTTTCCCATGGCAAAGCAAGTTATTAATAAGATATTTCAGACATTTTTATTGGTATATCTATCACTTGCATGTTTAAATGATGCTAAAATCCATGGGATACAAGGAATCGGAATGCTTAGAGACACAAAGTACTTAATTGTCTTCAGATTAAGTATAGTAATGCCAGTACAAACTCCATGCATCCTTTGCGATTACCGTAGGGTGACCTGGAATGACTGATTTCTCTAGGGTTACAAGTTAACGCCTTCTGCCCACAAACACATCTGTCTCTCTCCTTACATCTTGTGCCATATTTTGCCTTGACTTAAAATGGGCTTATGCCTTGTTGATCTCTCTCTTTTTTTCCTATGAGATTGATGTGAAGACACTAAACTGTTTTCTCTCTCCTCTTCAG